TTCACGTGAGGGATGATCAACAAGCATGTGAAATACTGTCATAAGCTAATCTGAGGTCAGGTTTTAATTCCCTGGAAAGTGGAATGACAGAAGCAAAATCATGAGAATAAAAATCATGGATTATGTTCGGAAAAGGTCAACATGTTCAGAGCATAGAATTTGTGCAGAGAAGTAACAGCATAAAATGGTAAACCTGGCCCCAGAATCTCAGTTCCTGGAACTTACTCATACTTCCTTCTGGAGTCTAGAGATATCAGTCTGTTATTATTGGGTTGGTGCAAAAGTTGTTGCATTTTTTTGTCATTAAAAGTTTAGTCAAAAACCGCAATTACTTTTGCATTAACTTAATAATTGAATACATGCCTTTTAAAACATAGTGCATGCAGTCACATTCTCTACTGAACATTCATTGCTGAACAAGTTAGATCTTTCCTCTCAAGGAATGTTCATTCCAATGTGTATAACAGGGCTGGGGAAGGGAATGGAAACTGATAACAAACAAATAGGTGAATAAAAATATAATACATGAAGCATAATATTTTAAGAGCCCTTGTTATTCTGAGCATGTTTTACTGATGTGTTGGGGTTAATAGGAAGTATTACCTGGTGATCTGAATCTCCACTGAGGGAAGAGTGTTGCAGAAACAAGTGAAATCTGGAGGAAAAGACATTGTATTTAAATATTTATTAAACACCTAGTATATGCCATATACTCTTTTAGGGACTACCTGTGGTATCAGCAGAAAAATATCTGCCCTTTGGAGTTTACTTTCTAATGATAATAAATATACACATAGATCAATCAATCAAATATATAAGAAAGAATAGAGTAGATTAATTTCTGATAAGAACTCTGAAGAGGGTTAAAGCAGGGAACAGGCATGGTAATGCGTGTTGATGATGGTATAATTTTATAAAGGATAGTCAGGAAAAATTTCATCAGAAAGGTGACATTTAAACAAAGAGCTGAAGAGTAGCCACGTGCATATTGGAAGGAGAGGGTTCCAAATATAAGAAAAAGCAGAAAGCACACAGCCCCTTGTGCCTGGCATGTAGAGGCAAGAAGATTCATGTGACTAGAAGAGCCTGAGCAAATGAGAGATTAGAAGGCTTTGAGATAGAAAGAAATGGGGAGCCAGACCATAGTGAATGTTGGAGTCAATTTACCTATTAAGGAGTTGTCACACTGACCTACTTATATTGGAGATATTTTTAGAGGTAATTTTTTTTTTTTTTTTTAACTGAGCAGTCCTTTCTTGGTGGTGCCTGAACTAGTTTCGTCCCCATTCTAATCACCTGACAAGAAAACTGAGAGGTAAGCTATGGTTAAGTAGAATCCATTGAGATGTTATCTGAGGGGCTCAGAAACAGGCATGGAGCAGTGTCCAACACTTTTTCTGTAGAGTTCTCTTGATTGTGTTATAGGTACCATATAAATCATAAAAGGAGAATTATAGGAAATTTGCTGTTTTCTTCCAAATAGCAGTAAAGCCATGTTATCTTAATATGAAAGAAACCTACTCGTATCATGTGTTTTATGGCGTAAGAGATACTACTAGGTGAATCATTGTGATGGACATCCAACAGTGATTATGGAGATGGCTAAAACTAGAAGTTTGGTTATAACAGCAAACAATGGTAAGGATTATAATATGTCGTGTCTTACTCTTCTATCCAACTGATCGTCTACTCATTAGATATCAAACTGCTCTTATTTATCAAGAGAAATCCTCCCAGTTCTTATGATGCCTAGTGTGCACACTAGAGCCAAAAGCAGTCACTCAGAAAACACTTGGAAAGTGATTAATAAGTGTACATCAAGTGTTCTGAAATAATGGGTGGTGATTTAATTTAAATATGTAAAAATGAATATTTTAAACAATTATAATCAATGGAATGCCATTTGCCTTACAAATAGAGATAAGTCATTTTCTTAAAAAATATATGGTACAACTGAAACATGAGCATTCCTAATCATGGAATTTGAAGTTTTTAAGATTTAATTTATAATCTAAAGATCAAATGACTTATCAAATTAATTACATTCCCTCTAAATGTAATGTGCTAATAAAATTCACACAAGTATGTCGCAATAGCTTTTTCAAGAAATATTTCACTACTGCAGATGGAACTAAGGAGAGGACTTTTATGTATCTTTCTGTGGTATGGTGAAAGGAATATTAGAAGGTAGATAAAATGGGTTCTACCTTTGATGATTTTGTTAACTAATTTATATGACTTTTGAAAACCACCCACATGTTCTTGCCTGCTTCCTCATCTATCAAACAGCTCTCTGTCCAGAGGCCTCACCCTGTGCCCACATTGTTCTAAGCACTTTATGTATACGATCTCATTAAATCTTCCCAATATCCATTATGTAAGACTGCCTCCTAATGAGAAGGTTAAGTTAAACTAGTTTGGCTATTCCTGAGGTCTCTTATAGCTCCAAAAATTCCAGTTTATTCAAATCAGTGTGTTTATTTCTCCATGGAGCAAGAGAAGAAATACCATGCACGAGCACATGTTAGTAGCTGACCAGGCAGAGAATCTGATGCCTTTTCATCACCTGCCTTAGCAACTTAATGGCACATGAATATTGAACTAAAATTTTGATGTATAGTCTAGATTTCTCAACCTCTGGCTACAGAGTTGGATATTACTACATGAAATATTACTTCTATCTGTAATAACAGAATCACTGGGGGAACGTGACTTAATTAGAACCTCACTGCAAAAGCTTGCGCAATAGCCTATTAAATGTCACAACTTCAGCAAATGCAGATTGTGGAAAAAGGCTAGTTTCTAGAAATATGTTCACATTATTTTGTTATAGGACAACTTATAACTTCTGTCACCGCTGTAACTTCACTAAGTGACTGTCGCTGCTGATCTTGAGGGAACAGAGATATTCATTAAAGCAACTCAAAGCAATAGTCTGTGTATTCCTTTTTTTAAAATTTGCACAAAGACATGCATCATATGATTAAAAGACAATTGCCATATGGTAATGGTTCAATAAGCCACACGCACAAAATGATTTTTGTGGATATGTTTTCTTATCAGCAACTATCATTTCTCTTTCTAATGTGAAATATTTTCCAGGTAGTTTCAATATAAAGAAGAAATTGCTTTTGTGTGTTTATTGTTTATTAGTAAATGATCAGGTATCTCTATAAGAGAGCCAGGAACAAAAGAAATGTTTAAGTAGATAAAATACTATAATTTGTTTAAGTATAAAAGGAGATGGAAAAACAGATTCTTATTTAATAAAGGTTTGAGTACAAGCATGTTTCCTGTTACCAGCAATTATTGCCTAACTTGATAAGCCAGCATGTATTTATTGGAAAACGCTTGTGAAAATAGAGTTATTACTTTACCACTGTTGACCTATAACTGCCTGTATGAATAGTCATGGCTCTTTATCACTGATTTTGCTTATGTCTCTGCTCTGATGAAGAAAGACAAGACGGTGGGTGCCAAATTCTGGAAATAGAGCAGCTCAATTACCATTTGGACTCATTTGAATCCCACAGGACCACACCACGTTTAAGTGATTGATATTGATTCAAGAAATAGACCTTAAATGAGCTGGTGTAACAGAGGCAAAATTAATCTCTGTTGAAATGTGAAAGAAATCATGATGAGGGAGAATGGCCTAAGGTTTGCCTCATGACAGGATCACGAATATCTATATAATTTTTAATATTTGCTCTAATAATTAACAACAGAAGTTGATGTCAAGAGAGTTGGGTAACAGAAGCATTTAGGGAACCAGCTTTCACGGACAGATGAGGAGATAGCCATGAGAGGGTGTTCAGTATTAGAAGAGCATCTGATTATGAAATGTCTGAAAGGCCTAAAGATAACACATCAAACTCTTCATACAAACTGTGTCATACAATTCAAGCTTTTCATCTTCATCAAGGTTTTATTTTGAATAAACTGCTATCTGTACTAGGCATTTTTATCCATGACAGTGGTGCTTGAAAAACTGTAGCTATGGAAATAACAAATAATTAAAGGTTTCAACCAGTTTGTCAAAAAGGAAGGGGTTACTTAAAATCAGGAAAGAAAAAGATAAGAACACCAAAAAAATAATATTGAGGGACAATTAGAACAACTGTTAACGAGATTGCCTATGCATTCCTGTACTAAATTCACTTGAATCAAAGGAGAGAAAGAGCAAGTACTATTATGTTCCATTTGACATACTTTGCTTTACATTAGAACCAAGATTCCTGAAATTCTGGACCTCCAAGCTTTTTATATCTAACTTTATGGGTGTTGTGCTTTGAAAAGTGAGTAGTATTGGACAGATGTTTATGGGGAGGACTACAAAGGAGAAATGGTGCCATAGCTCATGAATGAAGTTTGTGTTACCACCAGGGGGCGAACTGTCAGAAGGCGCCCATGTAGGATTCCACATTGCACTGACGGGGATGGCCAAAGTGTTTCCATAGTTGACTGTTCTCATGCTTAAACATAGGTATAGACACATGGATCATGTTGATAACAAGAGTACAGTAAACCTTTTTAGCTATTGAAGAGTTTGAGTTTTCTGTAGGAAAAGTGAACCTATGGGAAACAATAAATGTATTTTCATAAAAATAAAAGTTATATGCATTTATCTTTTTATATTTATATTTATATACACCACACACACACAGAGAGACACACACCCTTTGATCATTTTAATCATAGTACTAGTATTTAAATATGAAAAGTATTCTGAAAGTAGTGAGTGTTTTTCGTCAGACCATCGCTAAACTCTGTCAAGTTGGCATCACCGATGTTGCTCAACTTTAATTTGAATTTCATAAAAAGGTAACTTATTCTCCAAAAGCTGACTCTGATTGTCAAAAGTTAATAATGTAGTGTTGTCACTGACTCTGATTCTCACTGGCCTATTCTCAATCAGGAAATGGAGGCTGGTGGAACCAGAAGTGGTACCATGTTCTAGAACTTTAGGCTGAGCTTGATTCAGAGCTGAACTTCCACGGCGTCACAGAGAGTAGACTAGAAACAATTACCAAGGGCAGAACACTAATAAGAGTTTCTAGGTCAGTGTTGCTGAGGTAAATTCTCCAAAGCCTTTTAATAAAATCCAAATAGAGCAAAATGGACTGCTTTAAACTGATTACTATGAGTGTTCAGGACAGGAGTAGAAAGACAAGACCTAGAGGATATCTTTGGAGTAGAGAAGATAATTTCACAGGCTTTTAAATACAGTTTCTATGGCCAAGGAAAAGCGGTGTTTGCCGATCCCTTAACATCTTGTGTCTAGAAACTGATCCTGACTACTATTGAAATTCCAGGATACTATATTTTCTTGGTGGTCACAGCTTAAACTCAGTAAATTCCTTATGACCAAGTTATTTTGCACAGGTAGGTTTATGATAATTAGGTCTGCCTTAAAATCTGCTATTCCATTCAGTCTGGGATGGTATCCCAAAGAAAAGTAAATTATAGTTTCTAGTTACCATCTTGTCAATCCATATAGGCAAGGTAACCCTTATCTCAATTGTTCTAATTCTTTAAAAAATAGATAATTAGTATTTTTCAAGGCTAGTGTCTTCTCTATAACATCTCTGGGTTAAGGGAGAGTCCGACAGCTCATGCTTCTAGTTTAAACCTTAAAAAAAGAAATCCTTAGGGAAAATCAACAACCCAACCAAAAAATGAGCAAAAGATCTGAACAAACAGCTCATCAATGAATTATGTACAGATGACAAATACGCATAAGAAAGGATACCCAATGTCATACATCATCAGGAAATTTCAAATTAAAACAATAATAAGAACTCACAAAATACCTATTAGAAAGGCAAAAATCCAAGACAGTGACACTAAACGCTTGCGAGGATGTGTTGTACAAGAATACTCGTTCGTTGCTAGTGGGAGTACAAGATGGTACCACCTCTTGAGAGTTAGGCAGGTTTTTACAAAACTAAGCATATTCTTACCTTATAATCCAGCAGTCATGTTCCTTGGTATTTGCCCAAATCAGTTAAAAATCTACATCCTCACAAAAAAAAAAAAAAATGAACTTGAACTTGTATGTTTATAATATCTTTCTTTATAATGTCAAAATATGGAATCAATGAAGACATCCTTCAACAGGAAAATGGGTAAACCGTGATATATCTGTATAATAGACTATTATTCAGTACTAAAAAATAATCTACCCTGCCACAAAAGTACATAGAGGATCCTTAAATGCTTATTACTAAGGGGAAGTAGTAAATCTGAAAAGGCTTCATGCTGTATAATTTCAACTATCCCATTCTGGAAAAAGCAAAACTAAAAGAATCCATGGTTGCCAGGATTTGGGGAGTAGAGAAAAGACAAATTGGGAGAGCACAGAGGATTGTTCAGGGCAGTTAAACTATTTTGCATGATATTATAATGATAGATTCATGTCATTACACATTTTTCAATACATACAGAATATGTAACACAAAGAATGAACACTAATGTCAACTATGGAGTTTGGGTGATAATGATGTGTCCACATTCATTTAACAACAGTAACAAATGCAGATTCTGGTTGACTATAGGGATGGCTGAGTGTGTTTTAAGGAGATGAGGTATGTGGAAATTTTCTGTACTTATTGTTCAATTTTGCTGTGAACCTAACACTGCCCTAAAAAAATAAGTTTATCAACTAAAAATTAAATGAAGTGGCCAGGCACAGTGGCTCACATCTGTTATCCCAGCTCTTTGGGGGGCCAAGGTGGGCAGATGGCTTGAGCCCAGGAGTTCCAGACCAGCCTGAGCGACATAACAACACCCTGTCTCTACAAAAACAAACAAACAACAACAAAAACACAATTGGCTGAGTGTGATGGCATGTGCCTGTAGTCTCAGCTACTCAAGAGGTTGAGGTGGAAGAATCATCTGAGCCTGGAGAGATGGAGGCTGCAGTGAGCTTTGATCATGCCACTGCACTCCAGTCTGAGCAAAAGAGTGAGACCTTTTCTCTCTTTTACACACACACATACATACACACAAAATTAAATGAAGAAAGTCTTTGGGCCAATGAAAGAGCTCAACGAATCAATCATCTTCACACATTTCCAACATCATTCCATATTTTCAAATTGGTCATATGCACAAAGGGAGCTTCTTGAACTCTCACTGCACACCTTGCATAATAGAAGTTGTGTGTGATACTGCAATTTGATCAAGGTTTGAACTCGGTGAATCTGAGTTCAAACTCCAGCTTTGTAACCTACTACCCAAGTAACTTTGTGCTTGATGCATACGTTCTTCAGATCTGTAGTTTCATGTGATTTCTATAAAGTTTAAGTGAGATAATGTATTTGATATTTTTAGTATAGTTCTTGGTATAGGTACTCAAAAATATTAAGTGTTATTATTATTGAGAGGATAGAGAAAACGGAAGCTGGACATAGTACATATTTCTGCATATATCCTTCCTCCCACTCATACACACACACACATGCATGCACACACATACACACCTTTCAGTGCAGTTGTTAATATGTGACAAGTGAACTCATATTTTTCACGTTTGGGACAAATCTCTCATATTTCTTTAAAATGGGTGGTTCCCATATGTAAGTTTATTCATTAAAAACATTTATCTTTTCTTTTTGGGCTGTGTACCGGAGTCAGATATAACCTGCATGAGACCTTTGCTGTAGAATATTAGCATTTTTTAACTATTTAAAAACAGCTTTATTGAAATAGAATTTATGTATCATTACATCCATCCATTCAAAAATGGACAGTTCAGTACTCTTTAGTATATTCACAGAGTTGTACAACTGTTGCCAGAATCCATTTGAGAACACTTTTATTCACAGTTTGTCAGCAAGTCCTCTACAGCCCAAAGCAAACACTATAGATTTACCTACTCTGGACATTACATATAAAGGAAATCATAAAATATATAGTCTTTTGTAACTGGCTTCTTTAGCATGTTTTTCAAATTTCATCATGTTTTAGTATGTTTCAGTACTTCATTCCTTTTTATTGGCATATAATACTTTATTTTATAAATACATGACATTTTATTTACCATTCATCAGTTGGGTGATAATCAGTTGGGCGTTTGAGCTATTTCCACATTTTAGCTATTATGAAAAATGCTGTTATGACCATTGTGAATATAATACACATTTTACATGTAACTTATATATATCAATATTATAGTTTACATATCTAATTGCTAGAAATCGCTTTTTAAAATTAATTAAGATAAATATATTGTTACCTACCTGCAATCGTTCAAAAACTTCTAACTAGTGTGCTCTATATGTGACAGTAAAATAAATAGCCACTTTGTTTTTGCTATTATCTAGTCTCCTATTTTCCATAGAAATGGAGGCTAAAATCTACATTTCTCATTATGCCTTGCAGCTAATCGGGACCATGTAAGTAAGTTTTAACCAATGGATGTGGATGGAAGTGCTTGAAACTTTTAAATCCTGCACTTAAGGAGTATATTTTATTTCCCTTTTCTTCTTCCCTTCTGCTGACTAGAGTGTAGAAGTGACAGTGGGAACGGGAGTAGCCATTTGGGACCAGGAGATGCAGATATTCTGAGAAGTGTCAGAGAACAAACAGAAAGGTCCTTGATCCCAAATAACACGAAGTTGCCATATCAGCTCTGAGCTGCTTAGTTCATACTCTGTTATATTGAGTCTTTCTGTTCAAGCAGCTGAAACTGTTAATAACTGCTAATAATGAAGGTACATCATCTACAAAAAAAGTTTATGTTCTTCATGGTAACCATTCACTATGCAAAAGCTGCTGTGTGTTTTTTGATTGTTTGTTTTGCTTTTTCTTTGTCTTGAGTATTAGCTACTCTAGAAACATTCTCTTCAACTTTTTCAATTGGGTTTTATATAATACTCTTCGTAGACATCTCACCTTCCTGGACCGTTGTTTATCAATGTTTCTCTGAAATTTTTTGTTTTGAATGGAAGTTACACTCTAGATCAAAACTGTGAAAAGTAAAACAGATGATTCCTCTCAAGATAAGGAGGCAGTTCGATTATGAATCAACTTATCTTTCAATCTCATGTATTTCTTCAATCGATCATTAGGCGGAGATCATATCATACATATGGTAGGATATGTGTAACGACCTGGAGTAATCAAACACAACAATACTCTGAATACTTATTGAGCTTGTGATGAATTAAATAGGTCTCTCTAGCCTGTAAATCCACCAGGGTTTCCTATGTTGCATCGGAAAGATTAATAAATAAAAGACTTCACAGGCATTTCATATACGTAAAATTTCATTTTGTTCTTTGTTCACATGGGTCCAATCTGTTAAGTTCAAGAGCTGGTCTTGAGACTTGAACATTGCCCTAGGAAAAGACAGCCTTTTTTTTTTTTTTTTTTTTTTTTTTTTTTTTTTTACTGCCTTCAGATATTGCTGGAACTCAGAATGAATGTAGAACTACATTGCCAGGGTTGGTCTGCAGAGTAAAGATGGGATGATGTCATAGCTCTCACCTTTTCTTCTCCATTCCTGCCATCACTGGAGCATTTTCTTGCCATAGTTATGGCTTTGGATCTTAGACATGGTGCTTGCTAGTACCCCATATTCTTGGTTTCCACATGGCTCCTCTTCCTGCCACAGTTCCAAAGGATGGGGTGCTGGCAAGGATGTTATAAGTATAGGGTTATTTCCCTTGAGCCAATTATTATTCTCTTCTGCTTAATTTTAGGTTCCTTTTGAATGTCTCCTTTTTTTTTTTCTTGTAGGTTTTCCTTGAAAGCCCCTCTGCCAATAGTGTCAAATACTGTCATTTCCAATACATCATTCCCTTTCACTCCTTTATGGGGGAACTAGGGCGAGAGATGGTTAACAACTGTTAGGCTGCAACCATTGAAACTAAAGAAAGCCACTGAAACACTGCTGTGAAGGAGCTTTCACCAGGAGCATGTGTGCAGTGGTGAGCAACTGTAAGCCCTCTTTAGCTCTTAATTACCCCCACACAAAGGGCAGTGTTTGCTCCTCGTACACATGGGATTTACCCGCCTACTTTTCATTAGTGTTAATGGGGGTCTCTATGTATAAATCCTCTTTCCTTCTCCCAGTATCAATGGTGGAATAGATGCCAAAAGAGCTTTCTGCTTTTTCGCTTACTGATTGGTTTCAGATGAAACACAAAAGCAAATCTCTGAGCTCGAGCCCACTCGTCCTCCACACACTGCACTCCAGGCGCTATTAACACTCCTGAGACTTCTTTTCTCATTTGCTGTCTCAGGAGTGGCCAGAAACGATTGCCACATTGTGTCCCCACACCGCCTCCAAAGCCCTTGAAAATCGCTTTTCTTTTTTCTCACATCAGCTTGACTTATTCTATTCCTCTTGATACAAGTAGATCAGCATAAGGATCAAAAACCAAAAGTACACAAAAATACAAATTTCTCCTTCTTACATCCCACAAACTCGGTTTCCACTTCCTTCATGTCCTCCAGGGACCCAATACCATTTCAATGTCCTACCTCACTTGAGCCTGTGTGCTGGAGAGTGAGGTCATCTTGCTGGTGCATTCATTTCCCCTAATCTATCCTTGCACTTTTCAGGATCCTCATATTTACATCTTAATTAGTATTTCTGGATTTCTGGATCTCTGGATTTCTGGAATCTACAAATCCTCACCCAAATATTTAGCTCTCAGCTTAACAGCACATTATTTATTAGTAGGTAGGAACTGGCCAAGTTTCCATTAGTGACATACAGAGTTCTCTTCGTTGCTTTTCATGTTGGTCCTAAATCACACATCCTACTGTAATGACTTTCTTTTCTTTAATTTTATTGGTTGGCTTAAACCTCAGCATACTTATTGATGAAGTTTCTCAGCTACCTCGAGTGTAACACAGTGAAAAGAGGGATGTTGGTTTCTCTGGCAGCAGTAAGAGGCTTCAAAATGAGAAAGAAGAAGGTCATACCAAATCAGGACCAAAAGCCCAGATTTTTTATTCTGCTACTGACTGTAAGTGCACAGTTCGCATCTGTCGGGATGAGAAAGAGACAGACGAGAAAAGGCAACACAATGAAGTATTTACGATGCCACCTTCCTTGTCAAATAACAAAAGCAAACATTATTCTCTTTAGTAAAATTATTGAAATCTAGAATGAATGTTCATTGATTTATACTAGTATACACACACACACACACACACACACACACACACACACACACACACACACACTTCATAGTTGGAAAACCTCCCCTTGAGCCAAAATTACGTTTTATTTTAAGGTTGGTTTTGCTTAAAGGATCTGATAAAACCAGATTAAAATTTTCAGAGATCTAGTTGCTTATTTCAGCATTAAACCTTTTAAAATGTTATCCGTAATAATGAACATGCTACTTTCCAGCTTTACCAAACACTACTATGTTATTATTATAGTTAATCCTCAAGAACACCCTGATATTCAGGGATTACTGTTCCATTTTTAGTAGTAAGAATAGTAAGGGATCTGTATGTTTTCTTGAGTCCCTCTGACACACATCTTTTGTCACAAATCTATGATGTTTCCCTTCGGGATACCTGCTAATTTTAGTTATTTTCCAAATATTCCCTCTGCTCCATCTCTGACTCCATTCTTTAGCTGCAAAATCATGGAATAAGTAAAAATATCAAGACAAAATAAAAATGTTAAGGACAAAGGAACAGCAAAAATATTGTCTTTCTCCATATCCCAGAAACTCCCTCCTCCTCCCAGATACAGGCTTAATATGTGGCATGTATGGTGGGAATAGTCCTCATTGAGGTTAAGAGATCTGGATGGGGAAGGACTATTGCTCCTTTGGAAGCTGTCAGTATAGACATCATTAGATTTATGTTTATAAGGGATAGGTTCTTGACATTAGGTATGGCTTTAAGATGCTTTGGTTATCTGTTAATTCCTCATGTTCCAAGACTATAGAATCTTTGTATTCATTAATTTTTCTAAGAATCCAACATATTCAAGGAAGTAATATCTGATTTACTGATGAAAGTCATTTGACTAGTTTCAAGGAATTCTGAGTGGGAGCGTGAAACTCTGTCCACCTTTCCAGGAGCGCCACAATGGCTTGCTAAGAAGGAACAAACGGTCTTGCTGATGAGATATACAGTGCTTGATACATTTTCCACCAGTGGGAGCTACATCGAAAGATGAAGTGAGGCACTTGGGGAGGAGACTCCAAGCTTGACTCAACATACAAGGGTAAGGGATGTCATTTATTGCTCCTGATATGGAACCAGTGGGGACAGGGGTTTTGAGGGACTGTAGACATGGAACAATCTGGCTGATTATACAACAGTGATAAATGCCTTAACAAAGCATGCATCTGAATTAGAAATGAAATAATTTGAAAGTCAATGCAGCATAGACTTTAAATTGCTTTTGGCCTACATGCTTAATACACTTGCACACTCGCATAATAATTAAGCGTGGGAGTTAAGTTCTTAGAGAGCAAAGCGATCACTCTTCCTGGACAGGCAGGAAACCTGTAATCCTTATATCCACACAGGTCTAAAAAAGTGGATAAACTGAAAGATGGCCTTGTGTCTTAAAAAGGCTGAAGCTTATGTGTATGTGTGGAGGGAGCGAGAGTGAGTATATGTCGGCTTATAAGTAAAATTACCTATCCACACAAGCTTCTCATTCATGTATGGAAATGATTAATGTCTGGGGGCCAAGGATTTGCACTTCTGCAGCTCGAGCAGACTTGGTTTGATTGGATGTAGGTTCAGTGGCCATTGTTCTCTGCATAATGAGAAGAGACCTTGCATATTAAAGGTTTACCCACTTTCCTTTTGTTGCCTCTGTTGACACCCTCTAAGGATTGTTATGAGAACTAAGTGAAATGAAGAATGAAGGTAAAACTCAGCACAACACAATAGTCTGCACCGAGTGAAAGTGCTCAGTTAATGGTAGTTGCTGGGACGTTCATCAACATCATGAATAACCATAATAAATAGACATCTAGAGCCATGAATGGACTTGCTCAAGAGGGCAATTAAATCAGTGGCCCTTGGGCTTGATGTTTTATTTCCTTTGAAAAATATTGTTGAATCCTTATTATGTGTGCTTACTATAAGGAATACAAAGATGAGTAAGACAATTTCAACCTCAAAACAATGCATGATTCTGTGAGAGTGAAAAGAGAGGGAACATCTTGTGTATGAATAATAAAGGGAGTAAACCAAAAAGCAGGAGAGAACTGGGATAAGAGAGTGAATGCTGAGCCTATGAGTACACTTGTTCCATTTTCATATTGAAACCTAAAATTGTGCTGCTCCTCCTAAATCATCTCCCAGTGATTTTCTTGCAAAAGTACTAGTTCCCCCGGAGGGACAGAAGGACTGACGCTGTGGCTCATATTAAATCCTGTCCCAGCTCCTGGGTAAAAAGGGGAATTTATCTGAGTTTAGGGTAGTGTTGCTCAAATTATGGTCCAAAATCTCCTGCCTCACAGATACTCAGAGTGCCTTTTAAATGCAGATCAGTTTCAAAATGTATCTCGATTGAAACTGATCAAATGTATCTCAGTTAAGATACAGATCAAACGTATCTATTTCTAATCTGAATCTCTTGGGAGTAAAAGCCAGAGTCTACATTTGAAACCATGTCCTCAGGTGATAATTTTACCCACCAAAATTTGCAAATCAATGGTCTGGGGCAAGTGAGAATTGCACTGCCAGTGATTTAAATGAGGGTCTTGGTTAGGTGTGGAGATAATATCTGTGGTCTGTTTTCTATCTCTCTACTGCTAAGCTTAATTAAATGTACAGTAGATATCGAAAGGGAAAAAGAAAGAATAAATGATGGAAAGAGGTGAAAAACCAAATAAATTATCCAGGGATGATTTGAGACCTCCCTTCTTCTCAAGGACACATGGTAGTTATATGTCAAAGATAAAGACAGCAAATACCTAAGCACTTGTGCCTTCCTTCACACCTTCAGCACCCATAGTAGTCATTACTCATAGGTAACCACACTTGCCAGCAGAGCCCTAACATTGTCTCACAATTTGTTCCAACATATCCCTTCATGTAATCACCTTCAATCAATTGGAGTTACTATGGGTGATGAAACCTTCATGCCATACTGGGAAGACACAATTAATCCTTGTTTTCTTTTTTTTTTTGTTTGTTTTTTTTTTTGAAGGAGTCTCTTCACCAGGTGGAGTGCGCGATCTCGCACTGCCTCCGGGTTCACCCAGTAGCTGACTACAGCCTGCCTAATATGGCCCTTACAGGATTTCATCTATTATGCCTTAAAGGAACAGACCAGGAATGGGGCAAAAAGTCAGTTCTTCTACACGAAGTGTCTTTGGAGGGATTTCTGAGTGTGCTTACCCTCATTTTCCTTTCATGTACGTGGAGTTATAAGACCGATGTGGGGCTAGGTCCTGTTTGGGATCACGTTTCCGGAAAATAAAAACATACATTATGAGGCTATCAGGCTCAGCGTGAACTCTGGGGTAGGAAAGAATTCTGTGGATGGTTAAGGTGCCTCTTCTGCTAAATCTTGGTGAAAAATACTCAGTGTAAGGTAGTGGTCAAAAGACAGGTTCTGCTACCCAGCAGCTGAGTCACATCAGTGACTTTCTTATAGCATGGAAGATAGGCAAGCTCAGACGCTTCCTTTTCAGCCTCCTCATCTGTGAAATGAAGGTGATAACACCTTTGTAAATTGAGTGAATTAAATGAAAGAGGGCATAGTGTCTGCCAGATGAATGCTAGTGACTATTAATTTATGTAGATAAACCTACCTGGGCTTCTTTTCTACATTAGAATGTTGAAGCTGGTTGTGGCAACTCACATCTGTAATCCCAGCACTTTGGGAGGCTGAGACAAGAGGAATGCTTGAGCTCAAGGGTTCGAGACCAGCCTGAACAACAGAGTGATGCCTCATCTGTACTAAAAAGAAAAAAATTTAAATTAGCTGGTGTGGTGGTGCATGCCTGCAGTCCCCATAACTGGGGAGGATGAGGAGGGAGGATCACTGGGGCCTGGGATTTTGAGGCTGCAGTAAGCTATGATTGTGTCACTGCACTCCAGTCTGGTTGGCAGAGTGAGACCCTGACTCAAAAAAAGAAAAGTTGAGACCCTGAAGACAAATTAGGATATTGAGTTAAACAAACAAACAAACACAAAACAAAAACCACTTCATATTATTTTTATAGTTCTAGCTTGAGTGGCAAAAAGAATCTTATTGGACTCATATATAATCCAATGCCATTCATCAGAGTGAGAAAGCCCAAATATTATTAGAGTTCAAATCCAAGTAAAAGGAAAATATGTTTTCCCTGCTAAGATCTCTGGATTATCCTAGAAGGTTTTAGATTAAATGGCTGTGACCAAGGGACGTGGCTGAGTGACAATGTCCAACAGAAATAAGTAACTATATGTAGAGAAAATGCCATGTAAAGGATTCATACATCTTTTCAGCAATACAGTAAAAGACAGGTAAGAAAGTTGTAATTCTGACTCTTTGGCTCTCCTGGCATTAGTGGCTTAAGAGGCTAACACTGTCCTAGACTTTTCTTTACAGAATTCCCTGCAATCAATTTCCAGACTTGGAATATGCTGTGGCACCTGCTCTGCTAGAGGGAGCATCTACTGGCTCTCTTCCGCTTCGTTTTGGGAAAGTAATGAACTGTTGGTTATAAACAGTTGAAAACAAATATCAGAAGGTCATTGTGCTGCTAAACTTTGATATATTGAGAAATGTGAACTTTAGCGGGACTTCTAAAGTACTGTCATGCAGGAGGCGGTAGAGTAAGTGGCTTCATCTATCACTGGTGAAAACATGGTACAGCATCACTGCTTGAAGGTTGAGCATGAAAATACTCAACCCTGATTAAACGACCATAATTCCTCAAGTCTGGGACATGGTTGGCAGACATAGGAAGCTGGGGCCTTAAAATATAAATTGTTGGAATTTATAATGCACTGTCAATCTGTCAGGGAAAAACAGCATTGGAGTCTCTCTAAATTCACACTATTGAATAATTATTTAAACATTTTCAAGAGCCAATTTGCAAATGCATTGCAAAAATATGAAAAAAAAATTATATTTTTTTTCTTCTTTCAAAGAAATATACCGGGCAATTTGCATAGAATGGCAATGCTTAGTGTTTCTTTAAAATTCATGCCTGCTTTGTTAGCTTAGGTGACTTGTTACTAGTATTTTAAAGTATGGATTTTGTAGTTGGGATAATTAGGGATGCTGAACAGTAGAATTGTTCTTGAAATTTCAAATAGTTCCACTGCAGAAATGAAAAATTGCTGGTGAATGCATTTATTTTCTTCGATGAGGAAGCCTTCTACAGATAAACTGCACCATTTCAGTTATTTCAAAGAACAGAATAACGTGCACCTAATTTATTGGAGCAAGAAACCAAGCATATGTCTGGCACCCAGAACTGAGGCTTGGGTTAGGCTTGGAACTATGTGGAGTCACATCCCTCAAATAAAGGTTATGTAGTTTCCTTTCTCTTTTGAACTAGTTGGCATATGTACACAGGAGTAGTTAATAAATACTAGGAAAGAAGAGATTTATTAAGACTCTTAAAAGTGTAAGCCAATGAATTGCTGATGAGGATTTGAAAGGAAGTTGTACAGATCTAAGACATGTTGTCTGGTCAAAGCAATAAGTGTTTATTTAGTTCTCTTTACATGCCTTGCTCAGCATCATAGCAGATAGAACAATGGGAAGATTCTTTCAAGTAGCTTAACATCTGGAGAGAGAAAACTCAAGTCAATAAGCATTCGGTATATATAACTGTATGTATATGATTGTTACAGGAAGCAAAGGGGGTCACATGTATTCTAGAAAGAAAGAGAGTAATATTGGTTCAGTAGTTGGGGAAGGCTCAATGGAGTAGGCTGGGCATTGGAAAAATCTTGAATGATGAGGACAATTTTTGAAGTTGAAGAGAACATTCTCAAAAGTAGCTAGAGTAAAATGCATATTAGGGATTGTTGATTTAACTCCTGAGGCTGGTGGAGGGAGTTCAAAGAGGAGTTTCATGAAAGATTAGAGAAGTTACAGGATAGAATGCTGAGAGTCTTTCTGGATTTGCTCTACATTTTATCAGATTTTGTAACTTCCATTAATCCACTAGCCCTTAATGTGCATTTTCCTCTAGTTACTCTTTTCTTCACAGAGGACCTGATGTGTGTGTGTGGTCTCACCATAACTTCCTCTACACAGTTGTACAAGGGTTCCATCTAATTCCTGTTCCTTTAAGGGCCACTCGGAAGAGGATGGACTTTCTCCTCGTCACACTCTGTACATGTGTCTCCCTCTTCTTTCTCTCACCATATTACGCACCCAGGGAGTCATAACCATCTTTACATACTATAAAGCACCTAACATAATGCTTTGCTTTAATAAGTACAGACTAAATGCCAGTTGGTGTGAATTTCCAGTTCTCAATCTTGCTGTAAATAACAGAAAAGTTGCATAATGCTCAGTGGGCAAAGCTGGAAGTGAATGCCGCCTTCTTCAAGATTGAGCGGATGAGTGCTGCTAGATATTAGAGCTCCTTGAAGATTGGATCTGTCTTATTCATTGCTGTGTTCCCAGTGTCTTTTTGCAACACCTGGCACAAAGAAAGTGTTGAGAATGTTTGGTGAATGAATGAGTGAATAATCATAAGAGGCCACAATGCTATTCATACACTGTATGGAGCTCATTAGTGTGTCTTCTCTGCATCTCTCAGCCCTATCTGGCTTTACTAGGTTCAAACAGGGGATGTTAATTGAGAACAGTCAAAACCTACCCAGATAGGGTGTACACAACTCCAGGCCATTCTTCCTCTGCCTTTTCTTCCCATGGGGGCAGTTGCTCATAGAGAAAGCTATAAAAGGGTAAGCTGCTATGGAAGTTGACAGACAGAAACTTTATTCCAGATCTTTATCCTAAGAATCAAAAGAACATGTCTTCTAGACACAAGAATACATAATGACAGTCAGGATCTTTCTTTTATCTTTAAGTCAAAGTGACTGAGATTTGCCTATAAGCTAGGCAAAATTCTGGCTATGGCTTCAGTACTGTCCTTAACCTGAACATTCTACTACGACAAATAGCATATTATCTGTATTTTCTGTGGGTTCCCATGTAACAGATTTTGAGAGGTATGTAATTCACTTTTTCTGAAAATACTTACCTTCTGTTTGGGATTTTAAATGAAAATAGATTCCATGATTAATGCAGAAATATGACACTAAGGTGTTTCCTGTAACAAACAAACAAAAATACTGTTTTTGAGTTTCTAAATGATATGCCAATGGAGGTCACAAATCTCATTTGGACCAGTTATCCCCATTTAAATGATGAACTCTAGAGAAATTTAATGCTAAATGAATCATGATCATAAAAATCAGAATTATAATCATATTGAAGAGAGTATTTAACTTCAAAAGTTAAGTTTGTTGTATGCATTAAGAACTCTGAATACCTATAAATTATGTACATTCTTCTCACTATTTATTTTGTGGGTCTGCTTTGGCACCTTTGGACACAGGATTGGTGCCATATCTCATTGCGTATTGACAAAGCAAGAAGACTTCTCCTCCGAAGGTGGATACCCATGTGCTCCCACAAAGGAACAGGCGATAGAGCAGAGTTAGCAGGTGCAAGTATTCGGCCTGGTTTTGTTAAACTGAATCCACATAAGGCATTCTATTCAATGTGGGGATATATCTCACTAGTTCAAAGTGATTCATTAGCACAAAGAAATAGCAGAGTGGGAGAGTTCTCAGAGCCTTTGGCAAGCATGTTAAAGCAGGCCCATGACAGATGAACTCAATGAACTAACAGCTTAAGTAGCAGTTGGGAACTGGGAGTGCTGAGAAATGAATGGGCTGACCTTATAACAGTGAGCAAAACTTCATGACTAGAAAACACAAACTTTTGGGCCCTTATGGGAGCATGTATCCCATTATGTAGCGTTTGAGGGGAGGAGATGGGGGCTATACAGTTTTACATGCCATTAATTAAACTTAGCATAGAGAGGCCACTGATGTCTACCTTACTGCTTGATTAACATACTGGGTCAAGAGCGTTAGATATTTACCGACTGTTTTTGCATCAGAAACCGTAAGGGAAATGGCCCCTCAGAAATACATCTATAATTCATGGAGTAAATCAGAAGCTGTGCATGAAGGCTGACATTGCTATGCATTCCCTTGCCTTATTCAAGTGGGAGTTAGCCATGCATAAGGAAGGTCACATCAGACTGTGTGATTCCATTTTGGTTTGTGTTTTCAACATATTTTGGATATCCCGAGGCATGGCTAAGGACACTGGGGGAGAATGGGAAACGTAGGTTAAATTAAAGGAGGCTGATTTATTTAGTGGATCTTTCAAAGAGCTGCAAGCATCTAATTAGACAAAAGCAAATTATTAGATTATGTAAAGATATCTCATAGGCACCACTATCAGATTAAATCACAAACACACACGTGCGATTTGTTTTTATATATATTTATATTTAGTATAGCTATAACGTTAGCCATGGTGGTATTTATTTTGCCCAAGTATTTGTATTTACCTCCAATTTTTTATCACACTCTATAAGCTGTGGGCTTTTTGAATAATTGCCTTTTATATCTTCAAATATACGTATACTGTGATTTTTAAAATCAATATATTTATTTCAATATACAATTTTTCTGAACTAAATGGTAAACTATAATATTTTGAAAGGTTCCTTACAAACAGTTAACAATTTTAGCAAGCCATTAATATAAATTAAGTGGACAAATGAAAATAGCTTTTTGTATTACTATGGAGTTTCTATTTTCAAACTCAAAGTATTAAAATGGGAATTGTAAGTCACCCATGAGGACTGTGTAACTAATCAGTTTTACGATTAGACAGAAGTTCAAAACTATTCTTTTCTAAGCACTGAAGAGCAGCCTGCCAGTCTCACTAGGTAATTGGGGGCTGAACAAATCCCTTGCCAATATTGGGGTGATGTGGCTGGCAGATGCTGATCAGAGACTGAAATAAAACGTAGATGGTAGAACATGAAAAAAAAAAAAAAAAAAAAGGACTATCCAGCAGTATCTCTTACTGGTGCTCCAACTCTCTTCTGAATGTATTTTAGTTTAATCAGTTTGAAAAGGTAAAAACTATCCCTTTCTAATAATTTAAGTCCAAATTTTAAAGTGCATACAAACTGAAAGTGACCTGCTTTTAATAACAGCTTTCAGTCTGTTGAGCATTTTCATGCCTAGGTTGGGCAATAAGATTCCAGAAGAGATAAATATTATGTGGGTCAGTGGGCTGGTTTTTATTGCCTTGTATATTATAAGGTAATATGAAATAAGATATGTGCAATATGAAATAAGATATGTGCATGCATTAAAAAGACTGTTCATCCACTGGTGATTGTTAGGTGTGCAACTTCACCTCATGTGTAACATGAGTCTTCGTTCATACCAATTTTCAAACACATCAGCCTGGTCTTGCCTCATTTTATTTCAATGCTATTACTCTCCTTCATAGGCGTATGTTTGCAAAACTGCACTCTATGCCTATATTCTGGGACCATGACACTTTCCATTTTCCTTCCAACCTGATGTCACATACTCATTCAATCTAAAACCCTCGCTTTACCTCCACCATAGCTAAAATCCTTCTGAGTCTGTTTTCATCAGCCTGTAGGCACAGGGAAGATGTACATGCCCAAGCCATCACAGCAGACCAAAGGCTGTTGATTGATCACGTGGAATTGGGTACACATTCAACGATGTCTCTACAACTGCCCAGGCTGGTTAAATGTGGGTAAATTATGCACATCTGCAAGCCAGCTGTTGCCTTCAGCTCGATCCCAGTCAATGCAAAAAGCCCAGGAGGTCAAGGAAAAGAGCTTTTCAGTTCTCTGCTGTATGTACACATGGTGGTGCAGGTGGACCCTTGCCCAGTCCAAGTGTCAGAATGCCGAGACGGAATTGTGGACACATTGACCCTTCTTCTTATTGTTTTCATCTGCATTATGTATTCATGGAGTTGCACGTATTAGTTAAGACAAGTACCCTAGAAACAGGAAGCCTTTGTTCTTTTTCCTACCGGCTGAAAATTACCAAGTAGAGTTAGAAAATCTTCCTAGATTCTTTGTTTATTTCTTTATTTATACTTGTATAAAACGTAGTGTGCTTCCTGAAACAGAAGGATGACAGAAATTGGTTTGCAAAGGACTTGGTCAATTGTGTTTGTTTAAAAAGATGAGAGGAATTCAAAATGAGATTATTCCTTGTCAGGATAACATTCACCTTTGACTTTCATTCTGATGTGGCCCCTGGAGAAAATATCAATCAAAATGGAAAAATAGAGAAGAATTAAAGTCAAGGAGAACCTCAGATAAAATATGTGGGAGTTGGTTAAAAAAAATGTTACTGGTATTAGTAACAATCTAAGAGTTTCTTTAGGAGGGTCAAGAATAATCTGAAAGGAGCAAAGACAAATTTCTTTAGCAAGACAAGAGATCAGAATGAATGAGTAAATCAGGCATTAATGAGCAGATTGAGAGTTCCCTTGGGATGCTGGAATTGAATACTTTCCTCCCAAGTCTCAGTTTCAGTTGCTTATATGAAATGCTTTAACAGGCACAGGCAAGAAGCAAACTGTATGGTTACCTGCTCTCATCTTTCTTATTCGTATTTTCTTCAGAGCCCAATTAAGGCATGTGCACCTATAGGCAAGGAGGTAAAAGTGATTCTTTCCCAAATACTGAGTTTCCTATTTTTAGGCCTTTCCTTTAGTTTAATTTCTCCCATTACTTTTTTTTCCCCACCAACATGCTCAATTTTTTCGAAAGAAAGGAAAAGAATATAATTCAATTGCCCTATAAAGTTTATTATTGTATTTTCTTCCAGGAACAATTACACTTTAATCACAAAAAGAAAAAGTCCTACCAAAATCGACACTTTGGGGATTTCCCTACCAAAATCAGGAAATTTCAGGTATGCTGGTGGGCATATTTGGGGGCTTTGTGACATGTTTTGAGTCACTCCACATATCACCTCTCTACTCTCTTAAATATAAAGCTAGCCAGTGCCTATATGGGTCTCTGGGCATCTCCTTTAAAGTGGCATGTCTCATTACCTATTCATAAGGCATGCATCATGGTTATGAGACAGACAAACAAGAATGCAAAAGCAGGTTTAGAGAAGGAACTGTCTTAGTCAGTTTTCTGTGGCTTACAAGAAAATACCTGGAACAGAATAATTTATAAGGAAAAATATTTATTTCTTATTTGTATGGAATTTGAGAAGTCCAAGGTTGAGGAGTCCTCTCTGGTGAGAACTCTCTTGCTGGTGGGAATTCTCTGAAGAGTCTGGGGGTGATGCAGGGTATTGCAAGAATAGGGCTGAGTGGACTAACGTGCTATTTCAGATCCCTCTTCCCCTTCTTATAAAGCTACCATTTCCCCTCCCATGATAACCCATTAATCCATTAACTCACACATAGATTAATCCATTCATAAACACAGAGCTCTCACAACTCAATCACCTCTTTAAGGTCCCACCTCTCAATACTGGCACTTTGGGGATGAAGTTGCAACATGAGGTTTGGAGATGACTTTCATACTACAGCAGAAAGGAAAAAGTTTCTATAACACTTTGAGTACAGACATTTCTCTCTTAAAGAAGTCTTGTTACACCTAAGTCATATTTGTTAGATTCTTTGAGGAGAGAGAAACAGCTTGAATTATCAACATACTTTCCCAGTTTGCTTTATAAAACCAAGTGGCTATTCTCTCATTAGTGAAAATCATAAACCTCTGCACCCTAATGTCCCTGTAGCTATAGACGTTTTGCTTTTCTCTTATCCCTTATTTCCTCCTTGATTCTACGAGACTTGTTATGGGTAATGCTTGCTCCATAGAAGTTTTAATCGAATAGCTTTCTCATTTTAATTTGCCTCTAGATAATAGTTTGCTTTCTTAATTAATGCTGTAAAAACACACATTATGATCTTTACCTGAAAGATGTTTTGATTCACACCAGTATCTACGGTTTTGGTTGACTAAAGTACTCTTCTCCGCCTGCAGAGAAGCTGTGCTCGGTGAAGCAGCTGCTTCATTTCACCCCAGAGGTTGCTGCATTTTGCTCACTGTAAAAATAATGCTTATTTAGGATACAATTTGTAAAGAGTTCTTCATATCCATTGAAATAAAAGTCCTGCCCAGCGCCCACCCACCCGCCCATTTTCTGAGAAAGAAAAAACATCTCTCTGTCACTCTGGCCCTTCCTTTTTGCTCTTTCTCATTCAGTTTCTCCCTTCAGTCTCCGTGTCTGTACAACTTCACCTCGTAGAATGCCTATGAGCACTCTTGAAAACACCACTCATCATCATAATGATAATGAGAATAGTGGCAATGTATTGAGCAATTCCTGTGTGCTTGGTTTTATTATAAGGTTTTTACATGGCATTGTCTCAATTGTTTTCACAACAGTCCTATAAAGTATAAAATATTATTATTCCCCTTGTATAGAGGAAACCAGCTGAGGTTCAGAGAGGTTAGACAGCAACTAAGCAGAAGAACAGCTGCACTGTGCCTGCTATGAATCCATTCATTCTTTGGATTGAAAGTAAGCATTCTCGTTCAGTACACGGCTACTAGTCACTTGAAGTAATAGACACTAACAAATATTAACCAATGTCCATATAGTAGTCAGAGTTTTTGTTCTAAAGTGCAAGTTGGATCATGACACTCTCCCACTTAAAATTATTCAGTTGACCCCATTTCCTTCAAAATAAAGTTCACTTTTGTTGTGTATCCTGTCTTCGTGGTCTGGTTCTAGCTTAGGATCTGGATTCCATCTCTCCTCATCCCTACCCCACTTAAGTCAGCCTTATCGCCAGGGCCTTTATATACTTCCTTTTTGTCTGTTTGCAATATATTCTTTCCCTACCCAGCCGGGATCCTACTCCTCTTGGAGTCTCAACTAGGACAATTCTACTTCTGGATGGCCTTCTTGACAGTCCCAGCCTCCCCCATTTGGTTCTCTCTTCATGCTCTTGTAATCCCAAGCTTGGACATCTCTTTATTTGCTTACTGGATTTTCCCCTCTTACTGCACAAAAAGATCCTGGGGGAAGGAGCAGCTCCTTCCTCATTATGTTCCCATCCACTAAGTGCCTGTCATTGAGTGACAATAAAAAAAATATGCTTGACAAATAAATAAACAGAGAACTAAGGCTGACCTTAAATAATACCCAGGGACAAATTTAAGAGTTAACATATGTTAATGCTTATCCCTTCAAACTTATCTATAGGAAAATGATTTCTGTCTCCTTATAAGTCAGTGCATAGTGGTTGGTTTAGGGATGGCATGAGAACAAAACCTGGCAAAAGAACTGGGTGAATTTGGCTAGAACTGTTGGGAACTCTTGGGAAGAATAGTTCTATTCTTTCCGAGAGTTCTACAGAAAACTTTTTCTGTAAAGAACTAGGTTGTAAATACTTTTTGCTTTCTCAAGGGCAGTGAGCTGAAGAAATATAGAGCTGGATCTGTTGATGTGCTTGAAATCAAAAAGCCTGGTCAAAAAGAAAAAACATATATAAAAATATGTATCAAAAAGAAAAAACATATATAAAAATATATATTTATAATATATGTACAATATATTATATATTTATATATATAATGTATATACATATAAAATTGCCCAAGTCAATCTATGTTGGGGTTCTACAACTTTCTGCTGAAATAATCTTGACTAACACCCTGCTTTGGTTTATGCTTTCATAACTCTTACCTATTCCTAGCACTTCTGTCAATCATTAAATGTTTACCTGAGTTATTCTGAAATGTAAATGTGACCATGTCACTTCCCTTCTTAAAGTACCTCAGTGATTCCTCATGACTTTTCAATGACTGCTTTACTGTTGAATAGAACCCTGATCTGCCTATCCAGTCCCATTTAATGTTACCTCCTCATGGGCCACAGTTCTAACTCTATGCTTGACATTCGCTATACATAACATAATGTTTCACTCCTCCAGGGCTTGGCAAATACACATTACTCTCTGTCTGAGTAGCATTCTTATCCAGCCTTGTGAACGTGTGTTCTTACATTACGACCCTGATGAAATGTCATCACTTCCCTATACCTCCACAGTTAGTTGCTTCATCTTTTTCTCTCATGGAAAACTTAAACCTGTTTCTTCTGGCATTCGTTGCACTGCATGGTAATTGTTTAATCTTGTGACTTTCTCTCTGCAGAACATTTGATCTTAGAGTTAGTTATGATGTCTTGTTCATCTTTATAAACATAATGTATAACATATTCTTGAAGTACAGTCAGTACTTAATAATTGTACAGAGAATGAATAAGTGAATGCATCAAGTGAAGTGCTGTTCTTTTTATTTTAGTATCAACATAAAGCAGGGGACAACTTTACAGAAAAAGGGAAGTTTTTCTGTAAAGGACTAGATAGTAAATACTTTTGGCTTGCAGGCCATACCATCTCTGTCACACTCTCAACTCAGCATTGAAGAGCAAAAGCACCGTGGACAATTAACAAAACAAATGGGTGCAGCTGTGCTCCAAGAAAACCTCATTTATAAATTGGGTAACAGGCTAGATTTGCCCCTGGGCTTTAGTTTGCCAGCCACTATTATAAGGGAAAGAGACAGTTTACAGTTCTAAAACCAAATGTAAATATATTTTGAAAGAGAGGTTCCTGCATGAAATAGACAGGGGGTGCCTAGATTTTAGGATAATCGTGTTGAAGTCCCTATCTTTGAGATATAAAAGCTCTGATTTGCAACCTCTTTAAAATGACATTTAAAACTCTATGTTCCAAAAGTTCCATTACATTTTATTAAAATCTATCTGGTCACATAATCAATAAATGCTTATTGAAAACCTAATCATACTTTCTTATTTGAAGAAATGTAAAATAAAATGTTCAAATTTAACATTGAATATGCTCTCTGTGAATAGAAAATGTATTTCACTATAAAAGTCAGTGAATACCTAGGTTTCTTTTGGAGAAATACAGAGCACCTTTTATTTTCCTTTTTCAATCAAATGTCATTTTTCAAACTTTTTTTCCTTAAACTCTTTCCAAAACCCAATGAGAGCTCTCTAATGTAAAAGTATCGCGCTTAGAAAGGGTTCCGTTTTGTAGATAAAATAAGAAGAACAACTATTATAGTTTTATATTTTAAAAATCATTCAATAGTGGAATATTTGATGGTTTCCAATCGTGAGTCCTTCTAAGCATTGAACAGTTAGAAGCACTGAGCTTGGAAGGAGATGGAAAAACTCACATTGGAAGACTATACATGAGCAAACATATGGAAATCATTTAATTATTTGGAGGTCATCTTTTGGACAGTGTCTGTTGGGCCCAGCTGGAGCTTAATGCAAAAGCCCCAAAGCTCTAGCCGTACCCTCCATTCTCTTCAGTGTATTTCACCAAAAAGCCACACAAATCTGCATCCTAATTAGGTTAAGCTTTGGACTATATTTGCCCAAGTTAACAGGCACTTTTACGCAGATATGATATTGTCATGGCTGCATCCCTACATCCCATTTCTCTCTCTCTCTCTCTCTCTCTCTGTGTGTGTGTGTTTGTGTGTGTGTGTGTGCACGTGTGTGAGTGTTTCTTAATGCCAAATTACACATATTTTGCTCTTGGTTTTGTTTTATTTCTATTTGTTCAGCTTGCTAGATACATGATGGAATTTTGGATGCTAGGTAGATACATGATGGAATTTTGGATGCTAGGTTTTATAAAAATATCATCAGATTCCAATGGCCTTTTGTAGGAAGTTTATAACCTACTTTTATTTTCTAAGTTTTAAAGAGACTTGGTATCAGTGCATGAAAGTACTTTGAAGGCTATACTGGCACATATACAGAAACATCATTTGAAAGAGTAGAATTCATAAAATATGGGCAATTTGGATCACAGAGTTAATCCACTTTTAAGGTCTCTAAGTTAAATGTCATTTTTCTGTAGTCCAGATAGAGATACCCTGTATCAGCCAGGGTTCCTTGGAGAACAAAAACCAAAGTATATATTGTATATACATGTACATACACACATTTATACATATCACATTATTTATATAATACGATAATGTTATATATAATGTAATAATATAATCTGTATGTATCTATATACTATATGTGAATGGAGATAGATAGATGGGTAGCTAGATAGACAGAAGAGATTTATTTTTTAAGAGATTGGTTTATGTGATTGTGAAATCTGGCAAGTCTGAAGCCCATAGGGCAGGCTGGGAACTCACAGCAAAGATCAAACCCAGACTGCTATTAGCATAATATGGCATCCAGATCAAGATATCACGGATGTGGTTATAACACACTTTGTTAAGACCTCAGAAAGATTCAAAGCAGTGCCTTTTAGACCCTTTTGACAAGACGAAAATGCTGTGGTTTTACCATACCCCCCTGATTCTTAGCTCAGGTAGAGAGCCTTTATTGCACAGAATTCTGGGCATGACTTTGGGACAATGGAATGAAGCGCAATAAAATTTTATAGAAAACCAATAAAATGGTTTTATTTTAAAGAGTTTCATCAGTGGAATTATCATTATCTTGAACTAAAATGAAAAAGAAGCATTTAGACCTTCAATCTCTTATTAGGAAAACTATTCATTGCAAACTCATGCCATGTCTCATGAAAAAGGAAGCACCACTCAGAGATCAGGTACAAGAGCAATAAACAACCACATATGGGAAGTAGAGTGGGCTCCAATCAAGGAAGTGGCTGTATGTGTTGGTCTTGATTTCAGAATCCTTATGGCACATTACCTGCAATGTACCTTCCATTTTCTCCCTTTTTGAATAAAAGAGTCTACGGTGGCTCTTCTGTCCCTGGCTTATAATGGTAACTCTATGTTAGGAGAAACAATGGGGGTAATTTGTCCCTTTACTTCCTTGTTTATAGGTCTTCGAATTGAGAGCAGCCACTCCTGAGGGGTCTTGTCGCCACCCGAACCTTGTCTTCAAGCCTGATGGTACAGCTGGGTGAGAATTTGGAAGTCTTGGAATAGGATGAGTACATTTTGCTCATGGGAGGAATATAAGTAATTTGTGACCAGGGCCAGACTAAAGTGGATTAAAGACAGCCATTTATTCATTATGAGTCTCCTCCATAAAAGGTGGACTTTATTGTCTATCCTCTTTAATATGTGCTGGTCTGGTGATTGGTTCACCAAATGATGGCAATGGAAGTGACACTGTGCCATTCCCAGGACTAAGCCTGTTACATTCATGAGACCAAGCACATAAGCACTAGATGTTGGAGAGAACCTTCTGTCTAACAGGGTGCTTTTCTTTTAATCCTTCAGCTTCAGTGAGAGGAATGAAGCTGGGGTTCTGTGAAGGAGGAAGATATGTGTTCTGCCCAGCAGTCTGATCAGAGATTCAACACATATTTATTGCAAAATCTACTGTGTTCCAGACACGTTTCTGAATAGTTGTATAGCTCATGTTTGCATCAGACTGCCCCTATATCTTACATACAGTCAATATCTGCAAACCCAAAGTTTAAAAAAATAGTAAAATATTCATATTAAAAGATTTGGAACTGATATTTATTCTGTTAACTGAACATGAAATTTGTTTTATGAGCTTGGCTTATAATATCATGGTGTAAAAACAGCCCAAGGTTACATAAAACCCAGGTTAGCAGTTAAAAAGGAATGCATAGCAATAATCAGAATATGAAAAATAGCAGAAATATTTACCACTATATACTTGAGGAAAATTCATCACAACCAACATGGGAAGCTTTCAATTGATAAGTTATAATACAAGAGATCATTTTATTCATGAAAAATAGAAAATTCTCAAAGTTTCAATTTAGTGGCTGTGTAGAAATCAATTCTCATCTAACATTGACAGTAGAATGTGCTTTGTGTTTGCTTCGCACAAAGTAAAGTAGTGTGAGATTATAAAAAAGACAAAATATAGTTTGGCAAAAACTGAACAGGGGTAAAAGTGAGAACATAGAATAAAATTTTAGAATATTTGTCAATGATAGTATAAATATATTACCTAGTACTGTGCTAGGTATTTTACCTAAACTGTATTAATTTTCTCAATTATTTTCACAATTACTGTAAGCAAGTAAGCACTATTATTAACTTTATATTTGCAGATTAAAAAACTGAAGCATTAAACATCTTGTGATTTTCCCAAGTTGGTGTTTCAGTTGCTTATTGCTTTATCAACCAAGAAATGGAACAGTACCTCTGCTCACAAGATAAGCATAAATGTTAAAGACCCATGAAGAATTGTCTCCCAACAGCCTGAGCCATCACATGAGAGCACAGTTTGACTGCTCTCATGGAGAAACCACGTGGAAGGAACACGTGGAGAAGAAACATTTTGAAAACACATACAGAAGAAAAGACATCCAGCTATCTTAGCATCCCAGAGACCTGTAGAACTATTCAGCTGAGCTCACTGAAACCACAGAACCATGAGAGATGACAAAATGTTTGTTGTTTGAAGCAACTACATTTCAAAGTGCAATTTCACTAAAATATTGAGTAATGTTTCCTTGTATGAATTTACTACGTTTTTAAAAACCATCTTTTCCCTTTAGAAATTGAAAGCAACATCGGAGAAGATGAAATGCATGACTTCAAAGATTCCGTGGTTTTTCAGATTCTAATTGTGCTTGAGCACTGAATGTAGTAAAGTAGAAAGAGTCCTAGACTGGAAGTTGAGAGATTTGGGTTTTATTTTCTACTCTGTCAAAAGTTATCTGATGACCTCAAGCAAGGAAGATTCACATTTTAGATTTAAGTTTTTAAGTTCAATGAGAAATTGAACTATAAAGTGAGAACTTTGGTCTCAATTGGAAGCTTTTCTAGAGCTAACATTTTATAACTCTAGATTTAAAGCACCTAGAACAGTATTTCTCAAAAAGATAGGGAGAATCTTCATTTTGTGGAAATACCTTTCTGACTTCTGGTGGATAAACCTCTCCCCTTAGCATTTAAACTCAGTTTTATCCCACCCTCATCACTATAAAATCACCCACTCGAAATGTTCTCAAACACCCGCAGGGAGCCTTATCATCCTGAGTTGAGAATCTAATTCTGAATTTCCACAAAGTCAGTTTTTTGAGAATATGTAAATGACTTTGGAGATAACCAATTTTTTAAAAAATTAAGTCTTCTAATCCAAGAACATATTATATCTTTCCATATATTTTGTTTTAATTTCTCTATGAAATTTTGAATGATTTTCAAAATAGAGGTTATCCACATTTTCATGAACTTATTTCTAGGCATTTTATGTTTCTAAAAATATGGAGTTTTTAATTTCTTTTTTCAGTAGGTTCCAGCTGGTGTATAGAAATAAATTGGATTTTTTAATAATAATAATAAATTTAATCTATTACTTAGCTAATTTCTCTTTTTTTAATTTCTTAGGGTTTTCTCTTTTGACAAGTTTGTTGTTTTCTAGTAGACAGTTTAATTTAGTTCTTTCCAAGCTGATTATACTTTTTCTTTATCTTGTCTATTACAATGACTGGGAGCCCCATTATGATGTTGAGATAGTGAAATAACCTTGGCTTGCTCCTGAACTCAGTAGAATCAAATCTAATTTTTCATCATTAATATGATGTGAGATTTTTAAAAATGTGCTTTATCTGTTTGAGGAAGCTCCTTTCTATTCCTAATTTGCCAAAAATTTTTATGTAGAATAGGGTTTTGTCAAATGTGATTATTGGATTTGTAATTTTATTGTCTTGTTCTGTTAATTTGGTGGGCTGTATTGATTGATTTTTAAATGCCAAATCAAGTGAGATAAACCTTACTTGGTTATAATGTATTATCTTGTAAGTTGCTAGATTTAATTTACTAATATTTTGTTAAAATTAATTAAATTTTAACCTTTTGATATATATTAAATATTTTATGCAGCAGCATATGATCTTAGTCAATATTCTGTGTACAATTTGAAAATTATGCACATTTGCCAGTTAGTGAATTTAATATTTTGTAACTATCAAGTAGTTCTATTTGGTTGACAGTGTTATTCTAATTTTTGGTATAATTTTTGCTTCTATATATGTGCTTTTGCCTGTGTATTTTCTCAATTACTGAGAAAGTGCTAAAATCTCCAACTATGATTGTGCATTTGTCTTTATCTCCTTTTTGCACTGTCAGTTTTTGTTATAACAATTTTGACGTGTACATATTTAGAATTATTAGGTCTTCCTAAATCTGTTTTCTAGTGATTGGAGGAAAAAGTATTTCATGTGTTGGAACTCTCCTATGAAAATATGGCCAGTGAATATTTTGAATGACAACCTTCTTGTTGCCCAGGGACTATAAAACACAACCATGCAACTGTAAGGGCCTTGGACTGATGATCTCTATAGTATTTCATATCTTCACATCATCCTCTGAATTCACTATTGTGAAGACTAATAGTCCGCTGAAGCCCCCAAGCCAAGGATCTGTCTTTTGTAATGGATGACAGTCCTATTATATGTGTCACTTGCATTTAAAGTAGCATATCCTACTCAAGTGACATGCTAGAATATTCACTTTTCTTTAAATAAACTGATGAAGGAAGAAAGTGAATCCCTGTGATTTTGAGGAGAAACAAAAAGCGCAATTTACATCAACACTGAATTGGGAATTGAAGACAAGGAACTGAGGGAAAACAATGCAATCTCTGATCCCTGGAGGTATACAGTAGCTGAAATCCAATTTGGGAACTAAACTTGGTGCACTATGTAGACTGGGCACTATCACGGGACTAAAATTTCTGTCTGCTAGGTAAATAGCCATATGTATGAAGGATCAAAGTGATTGACTTAGACAAGGCTCCTTGAGAGCAGAGTCAATGTCCACTTGAACTAGCCATAAGAGTGATAATTTGAGCCTAGGCGCGGTGGCTCACGCCTGTAATCCCAGCACTTTGGGAGGCTGAGAAGGGTGGATCACGAGGTCAGGAAGGAGATCGAGACCATCCTGGCTAACATGGTGAAACCCCGTCTCTACTAAAAATACAAAAAATTAGCCGGGCATGGTCATGCACGCCTGTAGTCCCAGCTACTTGGAGGCTGAGGCAGGAGAATGGCGTGAACCTGGGAGGCGGAGCTTGCAGTGAGCCGAGATCACGCGCCACTGTACTCCAGCCTGGGCGACAAAGTGAGACTCCGTCTCAAAAAAAAAAAAAAAAAAAAAAGTGATAATTTGTTGCAACACAGAGTTATTGAGAGTCCGAGCTAAATACGAGGGCATAAATGAGAGTATGACAAATCAAACCAAGTGAAATTTTGACATCGAGACCAAAAAGGGTGGTTGAATCTTTGCATGCCAGTCCAACCCCAAGGGTTCATTAATTGACCTAAATATTCTTGACCTGCAGACCTGTAGGTCCATCAAAAGTGGGTTAGTTATTGCGAAGGGTATAAACCATATACATACAACGTACTGGTTGCTGAAAACATCTACCATTTTTTTTAAAGCATAAATTGTATGGTATGTATTTTTTTTTTTCTCTAAAGATAATGAATTTGACCCTTTCAACTTTGTGAATGGGGTGTGGGAGATTTTATTGTTTTCGTGTACTCCCAGGAAGGGTGCATAGGTACAGACCATTACTTTAAAGAAAATAACACACCTGATATTTAGAAGATGGTGCAAGACCTTCTTTTGTTTTCCCTCCAAGTCACCTTTCAGTCCATATAATGTCCTCTTTTGATGGGTATCCAGATGTCTCTCTTTTTGGGTCTTCCCTCCCTCTTTTTAATTTTTTTATTATACTTTAAATTCTGGGATAAATGTGCAGAACATGCAGGTTTGTTACATAGGTATATACGTGCCATTGTGGTTTGCTGTACCCATCAAACCATCATCTACATTAAGTATTTCTCCTAATGCTATCCCTCCCCTAAGCCCCCACCCCCCCAAAAGGCCCCAGTGTGTGACGTTCCCCTCCCTGTGTCCATGTATTCTCACTGTTCAACTCCTACTTGCGAGTGAGAAAATGTGGTGTTTGGTTTTCTGTTCCTGTGTTAGTTTTGCTGAGAATGATGGTTTCCAGCTTCATCTGTGTCTCTGCAAAGGACATGAGCTCATTCTTTTTCATGTATTCCATGGTGTATATGTGCCACATTTTCTTTATTCAGTTTGTCATTTATGGAATTAGGGTTGGTTCCAAGTCTTTGCTATTGTGAATAGCACTACAATAAACATACATGTTCATATGTCTTTATAGTAGAATGATTTATAATCCTTTGGGTATATACCCAGTAATGGAATTGCTGGGTCAAATGGTATTTCTGGTTCTGGATCCTTGAGGAATTGCCACACTGTCTTTCACAATGGTTGAACTAATTTACACCCCCACCAACAGTGTAAAAACTTTCCTATTTCTCCACATCCTCTCCAGCATCTGTTGTTTCCTGACTTTTTAATGATCGCCATTCTAACTGGCATGAGATGGTATCTCATTGTGGTTTTGATTCGCATTTCTCTAACGACCAGTGATGATTAGCTTTTTTCCATTTGTTTGTTGTCTGCATAAATGTCTTCTTTTGAGAAGTGTCTGTTCATATCCTTCGCCCAATTTCTGATGGGGTTGTCTGTTTTTTTCTTGTAAATTTGTTTATGTTCTTTATAGATTCTGGATATTAGCCTTTGTCAGATGGATAGATTGCAAGTTTTTTCTCCCATTCTGTAGGTTGCCTGTTCACTCTGATGATAGTTTCTTTTACTGTGCAGAAGCCCTTTACTTTAATTGGATTCCATTTGTCAATTTCGGCTTATGTTACCATTGCTTTTTGTGTTTTAGTCATGAAGTCTTTGCCTATGCCTATATCCTGAATGGTATTGCCTAGGTTTTCTTCCAGGGTTTTTATGGTTTTAGGTCTAACATTTAAGTCTTTAATCCATCTTGAGTTACTTTTTGTATAAGGTGTAAGGAAGGGGTCCAGTTTCTGATTTCTGCATTTGGCTAGCCAGTTTTCCCAACAACACTTATTAAATAGGGAATCCTTTCCCCATTTCTTATTTATGTCAGTTTTCTCAAAGATCAGATAGTTCTAGAGATGTGGCATTATTTCTGAGGCCTCTGTTTTGTTCCATTGGTCTATATGTCTGTTTTGGCACCAGTATTGTGCTGTTTTGGTTACTGTAGCCTTGTAGTGTAGTTTGAAGTCAGGTAACGTAATGCCTCCAGCTTTGTTCTTTTTGCTTAGAATTGGCTTGGCAATATGGACTCTTTTCTGGTTCCATATGAAATTTAAAGTAGTTTTTTTCTAATTCTGTGAAGAAAGTCAGTGGTAGCTTGATGGGGATAGCACTGAACCTGTGAATTACTGTGGGCAGTATGGCAATTTTCATCATATTGATTATTCCTGTAAATGAGCATGGAATATTTTTGCATTTGTTTGTGTCCTCTCATTTCCTTGAGCAGTGGTTTATAGTTCTCCTTGAAGAGTTTCTTCACATCCCTTGTAAGTTGTATTCCTACGTATTTGATTCTCTTTGTAGCAATTGTGAATGAGAGTTCACTCATGATTTGG